GCGCGCCGGGACCCCTCCTGCCGCTCCTGCGGGACTCTTCTCCCCCGGAGTCCGGCCCCGGGTGGACAGGCGGCTGCTGACGGGAGGAAAATTCTAGGGACACCCCTGCCCCCAGAGCCCTTCCGGGAGCCTTTGCGGGCGCATCCGCCTAGGCACTTGGGTGCGGACTGCGGGCTCCCCCACACCCGTCAGCAGGACGCAGTGCCTGGGGGCCGTGGAGACCCCGTCGGAGTCCCCCAGGCGCGCAGGCGGTGGGGCCAGAGGCCGCTCGTGAGGCTCGCGGGGCGCGGGGTGCGGCCAGCGGCGGGGACGGGGCTTTCTTTGTTCACGCGTGCAGAGGGCCAACCCTGCTCACCACAGCCCGGCCCCTGCCTGCGCCCGCGGGCTGGCCTGGCACCGCTAGCAGGGCCACGCCGCGCCCCCCGGCTCTGGGTGCCCGCGTGAGGAAGTGGACCCGAGGTCTTTGGGGGAGGTGAGGACCCCAGGACCCCAGACGGCAGCTCCTGCCCTGGAGCCCACCCGACCGGGCTCCGGCACCCACACAGCCCCCGTGTGGACCCGGGGCTGCTCCGCGGGGCCCGCAGGCACGCACACAGGTGGCCACGCCTGTGTGGACACAGGCTGGCCGGTGTCTGCCCCCGGCCGGACAGAGCCCCGGTGCCTCTGGACAAGTGGGTGGGGACCTCGGTGTCGCCGCCGTGCGAGTCCAGAAACTGGCTACCTGCTCCCCAAGGCTTGGGCGACTCTCCTGCTCCAGAACGGAGCGGGTGCGCCCCGGGGCCCCCCCAGCCCCCGCCTGCCCACAGGGGTGGCCGGGGGCTGCCCTGAGTGCTGAGCGCCCCGGCCAGGGGCACTGCGCGGGGGGCAAGCCTGGGCCCGGCAGGACCCCGAGATGTGGGCCGCGTCCCGGCACGGAGCTCTGGGAAGTAGGGCAGCCGGTAACCCCATGTTGTCCACACGCAGCTCCCCCGGCAGCCGGGCCGCGCCCCTGCGCCGCCCCCGCCG